GTGCCAGTCTCATCTTCTTAAACTTCCCATGCTCCTGTTGAGGGCTAAGGGAATGCTTATCACCTCGAGCGCAGCCTTCATCCAACCATTCCTTCAGATCAGGTAGTGTAAGCAATCTTTCAGATAACTGTCAGCATTATGCTGTTCAGAACTTTAAAGGTGGCAACCGAAACTCCCAAAACTTTGGAGCGGAACAGCCTCCAACCCATAGGTTGCCCACCCTCGGCCTTCGCGGATCAGCAGCCTAGCTCAGCGTTCCCTCTTCACCCTTTAGATCAACTACAGCAGACGTGCTCTTGCTTTGCCAAGGCTGCCTGCCTGGGAAGCCTCTTTGGAATTTGAAATATTCCAGTATTTTTAAGGGGCCATGCCAAAACATGGAAATGTGGCACTAATTACAAGGCTACCAGAATTGGCTGAACTAGCTATAGTACAACCCTTACTTGTACTAATGGAGAACTCAGTAAAATACTTGATCTGTAGGTGGATTTAGACTGTTTCTTCAAAGGATCTATCTATACCTTTAGCATATTCTGAAAAAAAAATCTTATTTACTAAGAGTTGGAAAGTAACCCTTGAAGACATGATGCCATTGTCCCAAATGTTAAAAAAAAACTTGAATGCACACCAACCCAATTTTATTCTGCCCTTCTACAATGTCGTCATGATGGTGGCTTCTCCATCTTCCATCATCATTCTAGGCATAAGCAGCGGCCACCCCACTGCTGCCCACCGCTTGAGCTAGGCAGAATTCTAAACATCAGCTCTTTGACAGGCCAGGGAACAGTTTTGCAGGATGACAACCAGAAACCTGACAGTCTCCATGAAGCACCGTAAAACCTTAGTTCTTTAGCCAGCCAGGCACAGCGCAAGCTATGACCCCATCAGAAGCAGGGATCAAGGCGAAAGTCCCTATCAGAACACTTTAGCATTAGATGAAGAATATTTCTCATGTTAAAGAGGAAAGCCCTTTTAAGTGGTGGGCAGACCTGCCTCTAAAAAATCTTTTTAAAAGAGTACTCTTGCTTCCAGAATGCACTTTGTGAATTCATGGAAGCCTCAGGTGTTTTGTTTTTTTTAAAAAAAGGAGGAATTCTGTACATTTAAAAAATGCAGAAAAACGATGGTAGCATCATTTCAGATTAATTAAATTCTAACCGAGAGTCTTTTATCGCCTATGTTTGGTGGAAATAAGATTTAGTTTGCCGTGCTGTCGATGGCCTTTTAAAACGTATTTGATCAATTGCTCATTTGTTCTTTTGCCTGTTAATTTCTGAAACCTACATAAAGATGCTGAACAATATTTCAAGACAAAAATGACTCCTCCCCCCGCCTTTAGAAGTCACCCCTTCATCTCTCTTAGGAAGAACTGCTTCTGTTGTTTGCCACCTGCTATTTACTCTGCTGTTTCCTATGAAAAATACATTTAAAATACACGGCCAGGGCAGAGAAATGTGGAATTCCACTAGTTCGCCGCGTTATACGGTTCCGAAGCCCGCTTCAGCTTACACGGCGCCCCTCTCAGTTGGCTACTTTCGCACGACAGGCTGTTCAACCCTAATGCGGTTTGCCGGATTTTGGCTACGCGTGCACGAACCCAGCCTACTGTGGCTCATCCAGCAACCCGGGTTCAAGCGTCGCGGCTTGGCGGGGGCAGGAGGCAGCCGCCATCCCTCGACCCAACCTACCTCACTGGGCTGTTGCGCGGATAAAATTGCAGGGGCGGAGCACCGCGCGCGGATCCTGCAGGAGGGCAGGCCAGCGATGGCATTCACCGAGGAGCCATTGTCATTCGCGCTCCCAGACCCAGCTCCTCGGACGAGCAGGAGCGCGCCGGTGGGATCGCTACCTGCGGGGAGAGGAACCTCTGCCTGGCGTCAGCCGAGGGAGGTCGGCCGCTAGGGGGCGCTCCTCCGGCGGCGCCCGCCCGCCCGCCTGCCCGCCCGCCGGACCAGCTGCCTTTCATAGGCTTCTCGCGGGGAGTCCCTCCTCCCCTCCCACCCACCTTCCCCCCGTGATGGCGGAGGACAGCGAGTCTGCCGCCAGCCAGCAAAGCCTCGAGCTGGACGACCAGGACACCTGCGGCATCGACGGCGACAATGA